GTTCAATGAAGTGGAAGTTCTGGTTGGTATGACATATGTCGTGGCTGAAATCATTCTGCTGAAGATAGGAGTAATTAAAGTATAACGCAATAAGTGGTTCTCGTGTAGTAAGGGTGGAAGGATATCCTCAGCCCACCGAGTTCTTCTGTCGAAGAAGATTGCGCTGTGTGGAGTGATTGGGGGATCAAGGACCAGTACTCATGGGATGTCCTATGTATGACTATTCTCACGGTAGCCAGTTCTGAAATGCTCAATGCCAGTAGTAGTAATAATAACAATGATAATCTAATAGCAAACAACATGTGGAAAGGATCATATCCTATAGTTCCTTCTTACATTTGAGTTTTCTCTTGATCTTCGTTGTCATCTTGCCTGTAAACTGGCATGCCTCATGTAACAAACTGTTATTTGAGAACATTTAGTTGTTACATGATGGTTGGTTGTTCATGCTACGTTGGGAGGTTTTATATAGCGAAAGACGCAATCAGACGTAAAACATGCATTTTCCCCTATTAAAAAACAGGCATCTCCTACCCAGTTCTCTCATAACATATTCATCAATGGTTATGATCATCTCTAACCATACATTCGACCAGGTCTGAGCCTAGTTGTGCACTGTACGACACTCTTTAAACTTGATGGAAAAATATTTATGGTCACGATTTGTCATAGGCGGTCGAAAGTATGAACAGGCTCTTTCATGATTCAAAGTATTTGAATTAAGTTCCACTAGAAGATAATAGTTCTGAATTATTGCCTGTGAATTTGTACGCTTGTTATAGTGAAGGCTGTTTTAAATTGTATTCTATGGTGTGCAAGCTTCTGTTATGCTTATTTACATTATGTTTTCAGTTATAAAATCAAGGAAATTTCAGTGTTTATTCTTTATAGTCTGTCTCATAGAGATCTTTCAAAGCACTTATTTTAGAGTTTGGTTTTCTGTTTTTGTCGTCTTTTTATCTTTTGCCACGCCTAAAGAGACCTTTTGTGTTGTTCTCTCTATGAGTACACTTAATCATTTCAATGGCAAAACCAAAACGTCGTTGTGGTAGACCCTCAAGCTTCTTTACATTTGATAATTGAAGACTACGTGACAACTGTATTGAGTTTAATCACCGAGTATGCACGGGACTAACAATGGCTGCATTGTAGAATTATGGTCTACTATGATATTAGTACTGCTTTAATAACGGACCTGATCCTAAAATTGTACATTTGTCATGATATAACTGCCTAATCTATATGATCTTACGTGGAAGTCACATCATCGTCTTCACCAACTCATTGCATCGTAACAATCACCATTACATGATGGAGAACAAGCTCAGGTTAGAGATAGAACAATATATTTCATATGAATAAAAGATATAAGGTAACATTTAACAGGGACCACGCCTGAAAGGCCTGGCCATGCCATTCGATCAACTCGAATTAATTGAACTCATTGTTCCCTCCTTCTCCATTGTTAGGTTTTTCTCCACGTTAAATATTGAGTATCTATTTTCCCAGTCGTCTCGTGTTCAGCTTTGAAAATTATGTGCCAACTTAGCATATAAGAGATTTTAAATGTTAGAAGCTTGACGTTTTACAAAGCATCTGCTGACCTCTGAGGAGATCGAGGTACTAAACTGCTGAAAAGATGCTCTCAGACAAGCAACCAACAGCAGGTGGGCAGCTAACAGATCTTTAAGTAGCAACGAATTTTATCATGTCTATTCACAGATTTGAACGAAACCAATATGTTGAATCCCCATGGCGTAGTGGATGACGAATACGTACATGAAGACAGGACTACGAAGAACAAAAATAATCACACAAAGGAGATGTAGGTTGAAAAGAGCTCCAAAGAATGTGTTGACGGTTTCGAATACAAAACTGTGTACATAACTCCATAACAACGCAACACAGAATATGAAGGAGCAATGCATGGACGTTGCAAAGGACTTGATTAAGAAACAAAATAAAGTCAGTAAATGGCTTACAATACCACTTAGAAGACCAGGGAAAACGTCAGACCTCCACTTCTACAGCAAAACCGAAATAGCGGATGGGAAGGATTCAGAAAAAAACTCAAAGTTTGTCAAAATGGACTTCACAGAGAGATGAATCATTCCCCTTAAGTTAATAGAGACTTCAGAAAATACCAAAAGCTAACTTTGAATGTGACCTGGGCCACATTAAACCTTTAGCAAGCAAGCTAGTTCCAGGATTAATAGCAGGGGTTAACACCCATAGAAAAGGACAAAACGTGAGCCTTGAATGTATTTAGGAAAGCCTACCCTTAAAATTTGCTTTTGCTTCTGTCGAGGAAAGAAGACTAATACTAGGAAGTTCAAGCAAACTGTCTGGATCTATAATATATGTCCAGGTGGTCCTCAGAGATGACCAGGAGAAGCAGAAATAAATGGGCAACGCCGAATTGATGAGACTTTATGCTTGAGAGTTAGCACATTATAAAACTACGTATGCTACGCATGCTAGAGGCTTATTCAGTAAAATGGTGGAGTTCAAACCCATGGTGAGCACAGAGTACCGTGATGTCATGACCATCACAGAAACATGATTATCGCCAAAAGTGCATCACACTGAAACCTGATTACTTCTCAATGTGGCCGGCAGATTAATTCGTAGAGGTGGTAGGGCTGTCATGTACACGCAAATCACCTCAACCACACGAGCCGTCGATGCAGTGGCACACAATTCAGGAACATGTGAGCTAAAACGTAGCAGGTTAAAATAAAAAAGGTGATATATTGAACTTAGTTGTAGTACACCTCTGTCCAGAATGAGTAGTGAATGACGTCCCCGTAAGTAAACTTAGACCCTGGTCGAACAGGTATAGAAGCTTTACGGTAGGTCACCTTGACACCGTCTACAAATCGAGGAAACTTAGAAGTGGGGACATCAAGAACAGTGTCTGATCAAAAATTGTTGGGAATAACAATTGTCCTGGTTTTATTTTAGAACACTGGAGATTCCACCAGATGACCTATAAAACTCCGCATTTCTTTGACTTAGTCTTCACACACGGTGATGACGTCAATCAAATGAAGTTCTTCTCACGCATAGTGAGAAGTGATATTGTGGTCATCTTACTAAAGTTCACGGCTGAGATGGTCTATCAAGCAGTTGCGCCGGCCCGTCATAACATATAGTAGGCAGACATGAAAGCGATCAACACTCCGACCTCGGCTGAAAACTGGCACGTTGACCCCGGCGCTTCAGTAGGTGAGGCATGAACTCATTTCTCGCAGTTAAACAACATTTATATCCTGGACGTCACTGTCAGCATTGGCATAGTAAATACGACGGATCGCTACAGTTCGGAATGAAATAAGTGACGGAGACGATGTACAAAAGCCCTAACACTATATATGGGAAATTTAAAGGGGCCAGATGAACTACACCCTGAAATGCTGTCTCACTGAATACGACATTCGGCCAAGGTGAGTTAGCTATGGACAAGAAGGGTATACTTGTCATTCCTATTTACAAAACACGATCAAGAAAACTTCCACGAATTCAACGAACTACCAACATCATGGACAAAACACTACAAAGAATCATCAGAAAGCCATAATGACGTTCGTGAGAACCAACAACTTTTTAGACAGCAAAAATGGTTTCAGAAAAGAACTGTCTTGCACAAAAAACCTAATACCAAGAGAGAAGTGGACGGTTTCTAGGTAATGGGAAATCATTGTTATCCACATATACTTCGGCAAAGCATTTGATAAGATGCTCAGTGGCAGATTCCTCTTAAAACTGGAAAGTCTAGGAACTCCTAGGCCTATCTCGAAGTTGATAAAGGATTTCTGGCTAGTTCGTGGACAGAAAGTAAAGACCGTTTTCAAGCGCCCTTCCTATAAACCACCACTAGGTGAAGTACCGCAAGACTGTCCTGAGTTCTCTACTATTTATACTGTGTGAACTCCAAAGTATAACTTAACCCTCGATGCAAATTTACGCTGACGCAGGAATTTGGAGATGACAGGAGACACATATGCGTGAGCACTGAGGGGGAACTAGATGTCCTGATCAGCTGGTCTAAAAAAATGACTGATGCTTATCAGCGTGGCCACGTGTATCTACGTGGACATAAGGGACACGAAAGTAAGTAGGTAAAGCATAGAGGAAGAGTCGGGACCCACATTCCGGCATCAAAGCAATCTTGGAGTAACAGTGAGCTATCATCTTAAGACAATGGACCACTACCGTGTGACAGTAGGTAAGGGATTTAGAACCATATGGGCTTGAAGACGGATACTAATCAAGTTAGATACTTATTTGTTCACTAGAATGTACACAAACTTAAAAACTGAGTTCAGGCTGCAAGCCCTGTTTTAAAAGTGGTTCGGATGTCTTGGGAGAAATTGAGGAGGCAGCTAACCGTGCATCCCAGAACTCCGTGATTTATTATACACAGAGCGGCACGACAAGTTAGACATATTTGCTCCGTCCTATCGCAAACTAAGAGGTTATCTGATTTTGATGTATAGAATACTTAGAAATAACTTTGAACCTGACATTCTCTCCTTTTCTTTCTACCAGATCAGGACGACTCAGAAGACATAGAAGGTGGGTGCTGTAGCCAAGAACGAACAAAATACCCGTGGCATTCAGGATTTCGCACCGAGTCATCAATTCTTGGAACCAGTTACTGGAAGAAGTGGTGTCCACTCATTTGATTGACTCATTCAAGGAAAGACTAGACACTCAGAAGCTGACTGGTAAAGGACTAATACAGGCTGTCGGTCTTCTATACTCAATACAATGCAATCGGGAGAACACTTCGAAATCTCGTACAGCAGTGACTTACATCGGAAAAGACGAAACCAGAAGATTGATAAGGGGAATACTAGAAATAAGATTTCGTAATGATCAAGGTCTTATTGAGGTCTGTTGAAGGTACGTGGGCGAGTGACACTTTTAGTTAGCTCATTTACACATATATTCTCTGAGATATTGCTGTGGACAACGAATTAAATAACCATAAATATTAGGGATAGGAAGACGAGTGGATTGTCTTGTCTGGATAACTAAACTATATTCGTATGTACAAAATAATTCTTTTTTTCTTTTATTTGTCCAGTTAAAAAATGAAAAAGTATATCCACATTCCCAGACCGATGGTGCCCAATGAGAACCTAGAAAAGAAGAGATTTTTCCTATTAATGAATGAAATATGGAGATACGTCTGAAGGTGAATAAGTGAATGAACATCAAGAAATTATTTAAGAGAAAGTTAATAGATCAACCCATTATTCTTAGTTTAATAACACAGAAAATAGCAAACAACTGTTTCAGAATTTAGTATACGTTTTTACACGGCCTGAGACCCTACAGGCTAGCAACTTTTCGTATCTTCAGAGGTCACATAGTCTCTGGTCTACGACAGCTCACGTAAACGAACGGTTAGTACCAACTCTTTGTTGTCGAAGTTCTCTAAACTGTAAATACTTCATCGGCTGAAATACATTCTTGTAAAGAGTATATCACCAATCCAAACCATAAAAAGAACAAACTGGACTTATAAAAGCCTGCGAAATGGCACGAAATTTGTAGGAAAAGTCTTAAAAATAACGCTACTATTGTTTTCATTATCACATTTAATTAAGTGTATAATCATGAACTGGATTAAATTTTCCAATTACATCTTATTCTAATCATTGATTGGCATCCTGTAAATATACATATCAAAATTGATAATCGTGGAGACTTTCAACTCTGAAACTTGCTTGTAAGATGATATCTCGAAGTCAAAATCGACTACGTACATCATGCGAATGTGTCATCTTACTTGCGGTATAGTTTATTTTGTTTATAAGTTCAGCGAGCAGTATGGAGAAGTATAATTTGTAATTTGTGATAGTGCAATAAAAGATGAACGCAAAATACTTAACACGATATTTACTTCTATAAATCTCATGATCACTGATCGTTTTGGAATGAGGAGAAACCCCTTAGTCGCATAGCATAAAGTGTGGAAACCTGGATTGATTCGTATTTGGATTAGAGCCTGCATTGTTTATGACAGGTTGACTAACTGAATATAATGATTAGAGGGGCGACATAGTGGTTAAACTACTCAGCTCTCAATCAACAGACCATAGATTTAAACCCCATTCTGGTTACTTCGTTCTAGACAGCTCTTATGCAACTAATATGGTTCAACGTCGAGTAACGAAACCCATACTTGATAAAAAGACAACACGATATAGTAATAAAAAATTGTAAAAATACAATATTATAAAATAAAATAACATTAGAGCTTACCAAGTAAAGATATACGATGCATGTTCATTTCGTAAAACAACTCGAGTTTGTCCACCGATTGGTCCACCGACAGTACTAGACTCTAAAAAGTATATGGATATAAAAAAAACTATCCCAATCTTTCATTTTGAATAGAAGGAAAATATTTTCAGTTATTTTACACAACTATGTATGGAAATTGTTATATTGTCTTTATAAAATACAGTAAGATATATATACCAAGTGAGGCTAGTGAATCATTCTAACCTTGTCTTTGTTTATTCAAGTGGAAGTGTATTAATAAACCAATTTTGACGAATATCAGTCATTTTTTACTCTTAACATTTGCTCATCAAGTTGATACTATAGTTGAAAACAATTAGGACATTATGCATTAGTCTACTGATCAAAATGAGTAAGATTAACAGTGAATAAACGATAGAGGTTGCATTAAACAAAATTCATTCTCATATATTTATGATTTTTATTGTCAGTTAACACCGAGTTCGTAAGGATCAATACAAATTGAAAGCTACTATTCATTATGGATTGATATCAATTAAAGAACAGTTAGGAAACAAGACCTAGTAGATAAACAATTTGTCCTTATTTCAGACTATCAATTTGAGCTCAGGATTCCATATATGATAAGAAGCAGAAATTCTAGGTTTTTTTGAGGCCCCTGAGTTCGTATATTGCTCTACCAACATACAATGTCGATTTTTGTCACCGTTTGCGATGAATTATTTTAATATTAATAATAATAATAATAATAATATAGTATTAGTAAAGTGATGAAATAAACTATTTCAATGTCATATAAAACAATTTTTAAAAAGTACAGATGGTGGACAACCTTTGAGCGGTGCCAAAGTGACCTTGAGAGTGTCAACCTACTTACTACGGCTAAATGAAGGTTATAAAGCAGTGTGAAGAATAAGCATTATGATTTACAGCTGATGGTTACGGTTAGAAATTAGATCTACGGTTTTTTCCACCACAAACTGACATCAGCTAAAATGCCAAGACGCTATTTGGCCAAATGGGTGGATGAATTTCGCGCCAAAATCCAAGACCTATTATTCTAAATCTGATTGATTCGTCCATAAATAATACTGTTGGTCAATTAACCGTTTAGCATATTTGTCTGCTGATCACAGTAACAGTTCAAATAGATTCTAAGTTTTATACATTTTACTTTTTCAACCGCTAGAGATTATGTAACAAACGACATTCATTTTTCATTCCTAGAGACTTGTCATAACACACATTTCAGTTCTCTCTTATGATATAATTATATCGTTAACCTTTAAAATAATTAACTGTAAGAACAATTTTTATAGTTATCCCAAATTTATTATCATTTTTCTCTTATTAATCTATCTCAGAGTGGTTTCCTAACTTAATTAATACTTTTCCATAAATGAGATAGGAAATATATAAATGGGAAAAAAACGATGAAATAAATTCAGAATATTATGTTATGAAATTGTTATCCAATACTGCTCAATTTTGAATGATTATCTAGATCGGTTCCTGATCTAAACAATGTTCTTGCCTTACTGACATTTATAGAGGGCAATGAAAACTGTATGGAAAATAGGAATCTGAAACTTAGATGTTTATTACTAATATTCCATTGTTTTTAAATAAAAGATCATTAAAATGAATTTATATTTTATAAAAGGAAAACAAAATCACCACTCATCACTTACCATAATCAGCATCAAGGAAAATCGGTAACGTTTTCAAATCGCTAGACATTTGATCAATTTGTCGACAAGGATAACGAATATGTGGATTTTGATTTTCATAATCGAAACAAGTAAGAGGCTCAATCTTTGAACCAAATATACGAATTGGTGCCTAAAAAAAGTACTAGACTATTAAAACAAAACAAAAAATTGACGTAATTGACTCAGGAAGCTTTTTCCCGACTTCTTTTAAAACTATCAGAGACAAAGTGGAGTGCACTAACAAGTAAAACAGACTAGTGCCTATATTAAGAATCAGTTGATCAAAATCTGATCAATACTAAATGGTAGAGAACTTTAACACTGACTAATATCCCATAATACTAAACAATTATAAAAGAGATTTTATTCAATGTGTACATCATATAAATGAACCTAATAGTTGAAATGTTACTGATGTTTGCACATTAAAAGTTACCAAGTAAAACGAAAAAACAGGGAGTAAACTGTTGAGCGTTTTATACAGTAATTTAGAAGTCTCTCAGATAATATCCTGGAGTTTAAAACCGTAATTGCTGGGCCTACACATTACTGAAATTAACGAAACTGGTTAAGACGCAATATATATATATATATATATATATATATATATATATATATATATATATATATATATATATATATATATATATATATATATATATATATATATATATATATATATAGTAAAATTACCTTTTCTTGATACCGTACATAACCTGACAGTTTTACGATACCCTTGACCTAAAATTTATGAAAAAATACATATGTATCACAATAAGTAAATAATGAATTTTCGTTTCAATGAATGTACTTTAGCTTATAATACAGAATTCTGAACACAACAGTAATTAAAAGCAACATACCTTATGAAGTGAGGACAATAGATAAAGAAACAGTGATTGTTAATAGGACAGATTCTCAACTATTCCGTGTTTTCATCAAGTCTCAAATCGTGATACACTGACTAGTCTATTTTCAACCAAACAATGCTAGACAGTAGGAAAACTAAATATAGATTTAATGGGTACTTTTAGCTAATAAATCCTACTTTTTTGGACTCATTAAAAATGCATACTAATGAACTCAAGCAGGGTTAAACCAAAAAACCAATGCAAATTAAGTCGGGTATGATATCGCTTAATGAAAATCCAATGTTATATTTCCAATCGCAGTCAATAGCATGTGATATATGATATTTATCTAATTGAGATCATGAACCGATTGATGTTAGACCACCATTAAAAACACGGAAGCACTGGACGACCGTTTCGTACAATTGTGGGACTCCTCAACAGTGCGCATCCACGACCGTAGCTGCTACCTTGACGTGGTGGTCGAGCTTGCCTATCGTGATGACCCAACCGAGCTATATTGGCTGGAACACATGTTCCTGCAGGTTCTAACATGCCAGGTACGTCGATTGGAGAACGGTAAGACTAAAAGCAGCAACTCAAGGTCTGAGGGCGAAGTCGAACTGCTGACTGTACAGAGGTGTGACAGCAGTAAGGTGTTTCCCTCGGACAACCAGCATCTGCAGCGATGCTGCCTTCTCACAAGGAAGGAAGGGGTTAGAAAAGGTTGACCCTAAAAATGTCACACCTCACCTTACCCCATGGATTTCCGTCTGCGGCGGTAAGGCCCTTTGAAGAACGGAGCTAACACATTAAAAACCTTCCACAAAAAGGCCGTGCCCGACCGGTCTCAAGCAGTTGTCCCTTGGGCTCTGCGGTCACGCACGCAGGTCGCTAAGACCAACGCTAATCCGATTTCCTTTTCAGGTTCCTCAAGAAATACCCTTTCATGGTGTGGGCAACCGAGAAGTGACCAAGTTGGTCACATTCAAATCCTTCCTACACCTCTTAATGACTCTCTTATCTCCACGACTAACCCTTCTTACGTCTCTTTATCACCTCGCCCCACTAGTGCAAACGATTCGAATACGCGAAACGTTATTCCTGGTCTCCTGAAACCACGCTCTAAACTACACATAGGAGCTTTCAACGTCCGAACACTGTGCCAAATAGGACAACAGGCTTCCGTAGCTAGGACTTTAGAATCTCGCTCCATCGATGTGTGCTGCGTCTCCGAGACGCACATACAGGGTTCTAGTAGTGTCATTCATTTGACTTCACCATGTCAAAGTAACAAACCAACTCGATTTACGCTCCGTGTATCTGGAAGCCCTGATGCTGCTTCCCGTGGCCTCGCTGGCGTAGGTATAGCATTGAGTCCTAGAGCAGAACTAGCTCTCTTAGACTGGATCCCAGTAGACAGTCGTTTGTGGGCTGTCCAACTAAACGGAGCAGTAAGGACTCGGAAAGATAGAGACACTCGTCGTTGCCTCTTCGTCGTCTCTGCCTACTCTCCCACTGACTGCAGCTCAGATAATGTAAAAGATGAGTTTTACAGAAAGCTTTACGACCTTCTCCGAAAAGCTAGGCGCTCTGATGTAGTAATAGTGGCTGGTGACTTTAATGCTCAAGTAGGTAAACTATGCGAAAGGGAGAGACACCTGGGTGGATCTTATGGTGTCGCGGCTCAAAGAACAGATAATGGCGACCGTCTGTTGCAGCTATGCTCAAATAACCGCCTGTTTCTTACAAACACTAACTTTAAGCATAAGGAAAAACATCTTTCAACATGGCGACCCCCGAATTCGTCCCAACGTTGAACCCAAATAGATCACATCGCTATCAGCCACCGATGGAGGGACTCGATAGAAGACTGTCGCTCATTCTGGAGCACATGCTTAGACTCAGATCATGCTCGGGTGCGAGCGCGTATTTGTCTACATCTTACTGGACGTAGTAAAGATGGTATAAGGAAACCCCTTAGGGTCCTACTTAATGATAGTCAAGCTAAGAGTATATTTCAGGAACAACTAGAAAAATAATTAGGCAGCCATGTAAGTGATGCCCACCCCGAGGCAGTGTGGAATGACATCCGAAAAGCTGTAGAAACAGCAATGATATCTGCAAGTACAGTAAACCATAAGGTTAGGGAGAAACACTGGATCTCAACAGCGTCCACCGCACTGATAGGTGCTCGAAAACTCATTCCATCTGGCTCTGAACATAACGAAGAGCGGAGTCAGCCTAAGCGCAAGCTGACTAGAAGCTTACGCAATGATCGTGAACAGTGGTGGGTAGCGAAAGCAAGAGAGATGGAAAAAGCAGCGGCAATAGGTAACAGCAGGCAACTGTTCAGACTTGTTAAGGAAACCGGTATTAGGAACCCGACTGTTAGCGAAACAATCGCAGAGAAAGATGGACATATTATTCATTCTCAATCCAGGAGAGTGGATCGATGGGCAGAACACTTTAGGGATCAGTTCAACTGGCCTTCAGCCACACCTCGGTTTCCCACGATCTCCAATCTACCTGAATGGCAAGTTAATGTAAGTCCTCCGACTCTTTACGAAGTTGAAAAAGCTATAGGAAATCTGAAGCGTGGGGGAGCAGCAGGCCCTGACAGGTTTACCCCTGATATTTTTAAGGATGGCGGTCCAGTATTAGCAGCAAGATTGACTGAGGTCTTAGGTAGAATCTGGGAACTGGACGCAATCCCATCTGACTGGTCTCAATCACTGATTGTACCAGTCTATAAGAAAGGACAAAAGTCCTCTTGTGACAATCACAGAGGAATTAGTTTGACTAATATAGTGTCTAAAATATTAGCTTCAATAATACTTCGACGTCTAACCAAAGCTCGTGAAGAGCAGACTAGAGAAAACCAGGCTGGTTTTCGACCTGGACGTGGTTGTATAGACCAGATATTCACATTACGTCAGGTCCTAGAACATAGACACACATTCAGACGCCCCACAATGGTAGTATTTCTCGACCTTAAGGCGGCATTTGACTCTGTTGATCATGAGGTTCTATGGCAGTGTTTGTCACTGAAGGGAGTATAAAAGAAGTACATCAACCTTATAAAGGCTCTCTACTCGAACACAACTGGTCGAGTGAGAGCTTATGGCGAACTGTCATCAGAACTGATTACCTCAAGTGGTGTTCGTCAGGGTTGTCCACTCTTTCCATTCTTGTTTCACTTTGTTGTTGACGTCCTTTTAGAGATGACACTTTCCTCATCTAAATTTCTAGGAGTTGAACTTCTACCGGGAGATCCACTCGTTGACTTAGAATATGCCAATGACATAGTTCTATTTGGTGAAGACGCTGACAAAATGCAGAGTCTGCTGACCACTCTAAACAACAATGCAGGTATGTTCGGCATGCGATTCTCTCCCTCGAAATGCAAATGTTGCTTCAGGATTGGGTTGCATCGACACCCGAACTGGTGATAGGGAGTGAAGTAGTTGAGCGTGTCGACCGCTTCACTTATCTTAGACGTCTCATCAGCCTTTGTGGTCTGGTGTGTGACGAAATCTCAGCACGGATACAGAAGGCTCGACTAGCTTTTGTCAACTTGCGTCATTTGTGGCGTAGGCGAGATATCCGTTTATCAACCAAAGGACGTGTTTACTGCAGTTCGTTCCGTCCTACTTTATGGCAGTGAAACATGGCCGGTGAGAGTAAAGGATATTCGTAGGTTACTAGTATTTGATCATAGGTGTCTTCCAAACATTGTTCGTATACCCTGGGACCACCGAGTAAGCAACTCAGTTGTTAGGAAACGGGTACTAGGTAAGGATGGCAAATCAATGGATGAAGTAGTGATACTTAATCAGTTGAGATGGCTGGGACATGTGTTGCGCATGCAAGACCACCAACTTCCCCAACGTGCTATGTTTTCTGGTGTAGGAGTAAGTTGAAAGAAAGCTAGGGGTGGACAGACCAAAACATGGCACAAATCCATGAAGTCACTGACAGGTGGACTGAGCCATGTTGGTAGGTGTAGACTACCTGGTTGGGGACCGCGAGATGATAGCAACCGATGGTTAGAGACCATGAATGACATGGCTGAAAATCGTTTGCAATGGTGCAGGTGCATCCACTCTCTGTGTTCTCTCAAAATCTAATCTTCTGTATTCTTCATGTATTTTATTTTCTTTCCAAATCTATTCCACTGGACTATACTCCTTAAATAACATCATCAAACCCTAATGTTCCCTATCACTACTTATACTTTTAGTACCTCTACCACTATGGGATTTGAATCTCTGTGCTAATGTGGTATGGCAACTCGAACTGATGTACGTAAGTACGAAGTTCCACGTTGTTACTGACTGACTGGCTGACTGCATCCACGATCCCGCTCGCGGGATTCAAACCCAGAGCCTTCGATCTCGCGCGCGAACGCTTAAACTCTAAACCACTGAGCCGGCATCCAACGGTGTTAGTGTCTAACCTCAAACAATACACGAAATTGCGCGACCATCTTCCCTACCAATACGGATTAGCTCCAATGGTCACTTCGAGAGCCCTTGGTTCGAATCCCGCGTGGATGAGCGCTTTTGAGGAATTCCACAATGGGTGAGACGGCCGTCCAGTGATTCCAGGTTCTCAATGGTGATCTAACATCAGTCGGTTTATGATCTCAATCAAAAACTTAATAATCTCTACCATCTCAATCTGCACAACCCCACACTGATATTTATTCAATGTCATATACCAGACGTGTTTGGCTTATTAGCTTATACTTAATCATTAACTCATTCAGAAACTATTTGGGAGCTAATCACTGTTAAGGATACGATTACTGTTTCAAGGTTTGATAAAACTTTAGGGATTATGGGTGCACACTGATGAAGAGTCTCAAACTAGGGCAAAATATTTCTATGGTTTGTAATAATCGAATAATTGGCGTCAGTTCTTTGAGGAAATGATCTTAAAACTATAAATATTCATGACGCGATGAAAAATGATGACTATCAAAAACTCACCTCTTCACCATATTATAACCCAACCTTTCAAAGCAGGCTAAAGTGAAGGGACATTGATTGTTTAGTGACCTTTATTATCAGAATTTGTCATTTAACTGAGAAATGATAGAGCTTATGGGCATACTACTTCGATCAAGTACTATGTACATGGATGTTAGTTTTAATTAACTTGTACATCGATTCGCGTAGTTACTCATCAAGTAAATGGTTTTTTTAATCAACCTAATTCGGAGTTGAGGATCAATGTCGTAAGTAAATTGACAAACCGACCATCTAAATTACCTCAGTATTTCAGTCAAAATGTATATAAATTGAAAAGCTTTTGAAAATTAATCTAACCTGTAAACAGAATAAAACTGATGAAGGTCAATAAATCTTTTACGTTAGGTTAACAGAAAGGCAGGGAAAAAGTAGCAAACTGAATTACACTTTATTAGTAGACTGCCATGTAGAAATAAATTCTTAAATTAATCATTAATTACCTGGCCATTAGGTCGAATGGTAGGATCACGTGCACCATATGGGACCCATCCACGGTTTACTAATATGGAGGTTCTAAAACAGATGTCAATTAACTAATCAGAAAGACAGGGAATCGAGTCCCCAAAACTTCACATTTTTACCCAGGTCTATCTTCTAAGAAAAATGGTGTTACGATAAAATAACCATGAGTAGATGGACGAGCCATATTTGTCTGCATAAACTTGGTTGGTGATCTCACTACCCATTCGCTCCCATAGCCTTTAGAAGGTATAAAATCTTCAATTAATGAGCGTGGTCCAATTACTGCTTCTCGTGAATGATCAAAACAACCTCGAACTGAGATATGAGTGAACTCAGGAAGTTGAATGCTAGAGTCAACGCTAAAATTGCCAAAATACGATTACATTTAGATGAGAAAAACAAACTTCTCAGGCAATTGAATAGGCTTAGCGGGAATTCTTGCGTTTATTTTTTCAATCAAATCAATTTTCCACCTTCTTCTATGTATCTGCCAATATCCTAAAGCGAATGCAGTAGCTGGAAGGACCTGAAACAAATTGTCAAAAGATCAAAAATATATGATGGCACTTTCTAGCACACACCTTTCGTACACAACAATTTACAGGAAAGAAAACACAATACTTCTTGTAAGATTACACATATACAGGACTATTAAAAGATGCATAGACGTTTTTGTGGGTAATACAGTAAAGAATTTAGTAACCACAAGTAGAATTAATTGTCTAGCTATGAGGCAAATTTTTGTAGTGAGGGTCAATGATATTGTCTAATTATCTTGATTGAATCACGTAATGGGTCTTAATACACGATCTGATGGTCAAAAGTCAAGCATGGGTTTTTGATTTAATGGCTTGAATCCCGGTCACCTTAAAATTATTTGTGCAGCGCAACTGAGTACAATACTAGGTTTGACTAGATACAATAGACCGAAGAGCACCAGGAACGATGACGAAATATGTATAAGATAAACTCAGAAAATAGACTTAAATATGATGATTGGGGTTGAATACTTTCACTTCCATAATCAGGTGCGTTGATTGGTTTGCTCAACTTATCCTCTCTAAAAAGTAAATGACTAATGGTTTGGCAGTTACTCACCAGTACTAAAACGCTAAATATAACTCTCAAGAATTATGTTGATGACTCACACCAAAACGAGTAAGAGTGAACTGCTCTTCTTAAATTAATATAACAACCAGCGATTTTATGAACAGACACAATATCTATATTTGAGTTCCCTCAGTTATTTTCTAACCTAACTTCTTAAGCAATGCTTCACAGCTTTAAGTTGAACGAACCTTTCGCGGCAGCACCGAGATTTTATCAGTCAAAAAAGCAAGAGAGTTATAACTCCAAAAAGACCTAAATAGGCTGATGCACCCAAGTGCTCGGTCCTGATCTGTATATCAGACATAAGAGAAAATATCTTTATTTGTGAAGAAATGTAGAATCTTGATCGATCAGACTGCTTGCCAATCGTTTCCAATTACATACAAATATATATATTTCGGATGTTTATTGATACATTTACGAATGAAAGCTGAGAAAATATGACCATGCAAATCCTTAACTACACGCAAAACAAATCATTACAAACAACCCATCTTGCAAACATTAATAACATACCAACAAGGAATAAGTGACCCACGTACGTCGTTTCCTTGGACTAGTTGGAAGCATACTATAATATGAATGACGATAGCTAGTGAAAGCATAAGCCAGTCTTATTGGTTTAAGAGAAAACATGAGTGCTGAAACATAATAGTAAATGACTGGTTATAAGTGACAAACCACAAAAATTACATGAAATCAAATAGCAATGGAAATGTTTGCATGATAGGTTACCTTAGGTGGAGCGATACATCAGTGTCTAAGACGATCGGCGTTCAGTCATTAAGTCGCATGCTAAAGCCCCATGCCATCTACTCTGGGTTAAGCAACTGGGTAGTATCATTAACTTCCATAATTAGAGTTAAAACCGAGTACACGGACCAGTGCTTGGTAAATAATTTGATAAAAAATTAGGTCATTGTGGTGACTACTGTTGTGAAGATTTCCAGTTTTGATTAAACAAAATCTCGAGTGTCAAAATCAATGAATAGTAAACTAGTTGACAGATGAATGCAATGATATAGTGTGACGGTTACTCACAAGACTGTATAATTGGCTTAGGTCCCCGAATGATTAGAAATAAAAACAAGACCACCAGCCAGATGAATTTTCTTTCATGTAATAAAATAACAAGCTTATAAATAGAATATGGACATAAAATAAACATAGTAAAATATCATAGGCGATTGAAGTAAAGTAGCTTTTAGGTCACTCATTCTCCAATCGACTAAGACCTGACCATTGGGCTTAAACTTTGGACATTGTATCACTGCAGGATATCTTCAGATCAGGAACATAATGATTAGGAATAGTGTACCCAGGCGACCTGCTTCGGTTTGGGCACCCGGGCAGTATCACAGCTCTCACACAAATCAATTGAGATTTGTGTGGCGCATATGTATTTGGTCCCTCTTTGTACCAATACCTATATGTTAAAATAAATAAATAAATAACCCAGGCGACAGTTTCTGACATGAAAGTAATGGGTTTGAAATATCAGTTATTTCACAATCCGTTACAGGGTGAACTGAAACAGCAGGAAAGAGTAACTATGCTTTTTCATCAGTAGTTGTGTCATTTGCAAATTTTTATTCATACGAAAGCGTCCAGTTAACCATTCGAATAAGAAGTTTTATATATACGTAGCAGAAACAGAAACATAAGTTAAAATATACAGTAAACATTTAGCAAAACAGGTAGCCGGATAGCAATGACAAAAAGGAAAGATCCTCTAGAAACTCTGGGGTTTCACTGAAACAGAAACTTGAGAGTTACATCTTGGATCCATCCACCAGGATTATACAGTAATTTTGAGTTCCCATAGGCATAAAAACTAAATATGACGAGTGGTTGACATCCACTATGTTATGATATTTTATCGTACGCCGACCGACTTTTATACGCTTGAGTCATGCCACAGAAAAAAAAATTCCGGGTTTCTTACTTAGTTTACCATAATGAATCGAAACACTCGACTACTGTAACCACAAATCGAATTGGGGCATTTAAACAGATTTATGTATTCTTGCTGAACGTTCAGCGATACTGTGTACTTGGTTCTTGCAAGTGAAATCAATTTGGTTTTGAATTCCAATGATTAATTGAGAGCCTATAGCCACTTTACGCGACTGTTGATTAAACTTCTTTCAAATACGAATCAACTTATATATTGCTACTAAGCTGTTAAATGTAACCTAAAGCTAGAAGTTTGTGCTGGTGATGCCGTTCGGAAGAACGATCAAAGCTCCACGACCAAACCATCCAGCTAAGAGGACAAAACTCCATCAAAAGTAACCTAAAGCTGTATACAGGATTTTATATTGCAGGATAGAATGTTAGGAATAAGTAAAATGAGTTAGACTGCCGTTTTAAGCGTATTTAGGCGAGAAGTAGACAGTTCTGAGTAAACTGAGGGGAAAATTAGATAATTTAAATCCGCCGTGACTATAGCGACAAAAAGGGGAAATGTCACACTACTTCCAAATGGCACGAAATCAAGAAAACCTAAGTTTCTTTGATTTGCTTGGGCACGAAGTACCTAAAGACACAATCTGCCTTAACAGCAGGTACGTTCAGGGGTTTCGTCCACTATCGGAGGTTGCGAGCACTTGAAGGTCAAACTGTCACAAGATGACTGGTGCGTCACATCGACAATTCGTGAAGTTTTCAGAGGCGGTCAAATCAAGACAGTTTTAGATTTGAATTGAGTTCAGCCACACCATGTCTGATAACGTCCATCCTTCAAGTAACGAAGATAATGCCATCGTGATGATACCGTCCAAATTCACATTTCATCGCATAATTTATATTTTTATTGACTAAGAACACTTTAGGAACCAGTTTTCATTTAGTAATAAAATACAAGTCAGGAATATTCCTGACTTATATATATATGCACTTTGTGTTTTGCTCAAAATACAGGAGGCTGTAACGTTCGACCTTTGGTAGGTCAGCACTTGGTCCGAAGGTACCTTGTATGCCGTGGTTGTATCGAACGTAGCTTATGCTCCTCTCATAAGAGGATTTGTAAGAGAAAATAACAAGATAGAAAGTTAACCATGGCTCACTTTAACATTAACCACATAGAATGCAGTTACATTCAATAATGAGAGCAATTCACAACAATAAGGAATAACACAAGTGTGTGATTAAGACAATGTGGTAATTGACACTAGTACGTTGTAAAAGGTCTCGATTGTTTCAGAGTTACCTTAATTCTAGTTGGTTAATTCAAGGCTGTCAGTATACTATACTCATCTTAAATGTGGTTCGAGTACAATGACTGTCTTCTCAACTTTGCAGATTCTGTTTGTTCGTGTAATGTTTAATAACCAAAATTAGTCAGCCGTGTATTTAACACAAACAACTCAGAGTGTAGCACGTACTATTAGCGTTTACTGGCAAGCAGGAGCGATCTCAAACACAACACAACAGTCAGGACCGGTAAGTGCCACTGAAGTAAGAACACGGCATACTGGCACAACAGAGATAGATTTAAAAATTGAATTACGCTGTTCGAGTGCAAAAAGGGGATGTTTATCACAAAATGGGTTTACTCATTGTCTTGCAGGTTTAGCTTGCGCATGGCTTGTTCCTCTCCTTCTAGTACGTTTACTTTCTGTTGCCCTGCAATGAGGAAAACAAACTCACATTAGTAAAGTCACATGTAATGATTTTTAATACCGTTACAAAGGTCGTTTTTCAAGGTGGTGCCATTTTAGGGACTTGTTGTTCAAAACGTTAACTCCATACCCTAAAACTTTGCTGGACATAATCAATGGATTATTTATTCCATGATGTACGCATCCAAGCAGTAGGAGTGGGCTCTTGGCAATGGGTATGTGTGGTTCTTATTGTATGTCTTCTAAAAACTAAAGGCTGGAATAAGAGTGAAAGTCGTAGAGTCTAGTGCTATTACACACATGATTCATCCTAACTTTCGAATAGACCTTAATAACTAAGATAGCATGTGACTATAGGGTCATTTTTTCTTCATAGTATCTATCTTCTTCATCCGAAATTGTGATATTCAACACATATGCGTCATACATTCATGTTTTTGTAGTTCGCTTTGTATATTCTTGTGCCTATATCTTTCTCTTGATATTTTATCCAATGTTTTACTCTTTGCCAAAATACACATCTATTTTGATCTATATTGACACTTTTAATAGGTAGTAAATGGAGTCGGTACTCCTCCCTTCTTGTATCGGTTCGCGTTTAGCCAGAAGGTACTTTGTGCACCAGGGGAGCGTCCATAGTAGCGTGGGGGCTGTAAAAGCGAAGAAAAAACAAAAATGTGAGACGACAACCAAGCAAGAGCACACAATGCACTCACATTTAATAACGAAAGCAATCGGGAACAACAAAAGGCTCAGAACCTAAACTAGGTACAGACAAATCAATCCGCTACATACACTTCGCTGCGCGTTCCCGATTCTCACTTGTACTGTCTGCTTACGTTAATCGATGCCTGAAATAAATTCATCCCACTCAAATCGTGTTTGACTTCGTATTACACCATTCGTACAAATAGGATTAACCTAGGCGGAATTAAGAGGAATATTTGTGTTGAAACACTAGAAATTTGTGGATAGGTTCAACAGGTCCGAAAACCGACTAGGGGAGAATAATATACTTGATTTATTGTTTACAACCAACACAGATTTCACCTCAGTGCATACCAGTCATGAGTTTTTTTATGAGTGATCATAGAGTTGTATTGAGTATTATTCACTCTTTAAACGCCATAAAATTGGACTCAAAAGCTTCAACGATGTACCAGAGCAGACATTTTGATCAACCAACCTGGAAACGGAATGAAACTCTCATTCAATGTTTACCATGGGAAACTTATTTTACCACAAATAATGTTGACACTGCGCTATCTAATCTATACTACAACCTGATATATTTCCTTGACTGCACGGCCCCAGTTATTGGCTATGTGGCCTATAATGCTAATAGGGGGCAGAATACATTTAAAACCTTTAAAAGAAAGCTAAGGGAATTAAAACACCGGTACCACGAGCACTTCAGAGTACTTAATTTAATCGACAGAAAGGCTTCATCTAAGCGCAAGTATTTTATGAATATAGAAAATAAAGCCCAACGTAGTAAAAGCCCAGAATTATCAATACTTCGCTTTTTAAATCCCGTGTGAAGTCAAATTCCCTTGGCACGACTAAATTATTCATAGTTAACGGAAGCATTGTTGACGACCGCGATATTATTTGAGAACAATTCAGCAAGCACTTTTCCCGATGCTACAAAACTGGAATTGAAAGCTCTATCAATACATTTCCAATGCTGACATCCAGACACCTATCGACAATTGATTTTATACCCTCGAACATCAAACGAGCCATGGCTGCCCTGAAAAAGTCTTATGATGGTGGATCTAGCAGGATCCCTTCATCACCTGTGAAATATAGGAGTAGAGAATTCTCACTATTTTGTTTGAAACTTTTCAACCTATCTATGGAACATGGGACCTATCCATCTGTATGAAAAACATCCCTTATCACTCCTAAATTCAAAACAGGATCACGTAGTGATATCGTTAACTATAGGCCAATTAATTTAATATCCGTGCTCTCAAGAACCATGAAAAAAATCATCCACAAACAGCTATTATCATTTTTACTTTCGGCTAGTCTGATTAGCCCATCCCAACACGGGTTTATAACTAAACGCTCATGTTTCATATCGCGCCTGGAATTTTTTGATCAAATTACCCTGAGAAGAGATGTTGGTCAGTCAGTGATAATTCTTTACTTCGATTTTAGTAAGGTTTTCGAGAATGTCTCACACAAACTTCTTCTAAAACTCTCTTCATTTGGCATACAGAATCCCCATTTATCTTGGCTCGATTCGTTTTTGGAAGAACGTAGCCAAATCTTTCGCTTTGTATCTTGCTACTCTAAACCTGCTAATGTAACCAGTGGGGTTATACAAGGAAGTGTGATTGGTCCATTACTCTCTCTCCTTTTTATCAATGACGTGTGTTCCCTCTTACAGTATGGCAAAGCTTTCCTTTTTGCCGATGACCGAAAAGCAGTTTATTTATTCTCTTCTCCCACCAAAGAAAGCTATATTTCAGCGGCAATCCAAGAAGAAATAAACAAGTTATACGAATGGACAGTTTCATGGAATTTGCCACTTAATGTTGACAAAAGTGCATTTATTCATATTGGTCGCTGCTTTAACTTAAATCTGACTATAGACAAACAAACATTGAAACCTCTCAACACTGTTCGTGACTAGGGTTTGAGATAAATCAAAAGTCTGAACTTTTTCGAGCACATTGCATCTCAAGTATGAAGAGCTAGAAAGCTCACCAGATTCATGATGATGAACTTGAATAATATCGAATCGAGATTTTTGTTATACAGAAAATGTATCTTACCCATTCTTGAATATGGTATTTTAGTTTACAGTAATTGCGAACATAATTACCTGACTAAAATTGAAGGTGTTCAAAGAAGGTTCACCAAAGCTGTTCTGGGGTATTCCGACAACAAATCCTATTACCAAAGATGTCAACAACTCAAATTAGAACCTCCCTGTATCAGAAGTATCAAATTAGACCCTGTCTTTATCTACCGGCTTATTAACGGTATTTCCTACTCTTTGGTATCCACCTCCTTATAATCTGTTACATCATCTCACAATCTAAGCAATAAAAAATATTCTAGCGATTCCAAAAACCTACATAAACTTACGCCAGAATTTGTTCGTTATTTGCTTCTCAACCATATGGAACATATTGCCTGTGGACCTCCGTTGCAGTGAAACTACAACCCGGTTCAAAAGTCTCCTTGATGACTTCCTTTCCGAAAGTGGATTGTGTCACCCTCTGAATATAAACGTGTTTAATAATGGTTTATACAAACAAGGTCCGTGATGTATCTAATTGACTGAAAAGCAAAGTGTAACTTTTGAGACTTTCAATGTTCACTTTATTTTATTTCTATTCGTCTTAATATATGAAGTCTGCTTATGTTCGTATTTATAACTATTATTGTTATTATTATCATTATTGGTCCCCCGACACATTTGTTATTCTTTTTATCTCTTCTTATCCTTCTAAACATATTTAATTCCTGATTTTCCTTTGAAATTAATTATGACTTTGATAGCATCATTCTAAACTATTATTGCACAAATGGTTATACTAATATCCGGTTTCACTCTGTATATTATTACATAAATCTATATGTATTTATCCGAGTGCGCTAAAGGATTCATTTTGTTTATTTATTTCATTTTCAAAATTTCTGGTTTACTTCAGAGGTCGATATTTGTTACACAATTATTATTATTATAATGGTTTAACCCTTTCACTAGGTAATTATTTCTTTTCTTCCTCTTTTCTCCATCTAAATAAATATTATTCTTAAATTTATGAAGTTTTGTAATCAAGACAATAACTTGTATTACACTTAAATTAACTTCTCAAACTTGTTTTATCTTCACTATACATATACATATGCATATTGATATTTCATTATCCTTTTCGCTCAATCGAGACTTGCATAGCATCACTCCAAACTATGACTGCACAAACATTTATTCTAGCGTCATTTCTTACTGCAATAATGAGTTATTTTTTTCTTAAT